CACTGCCATATGCCCAGATACATCAGACACATAAAAGTTCTAAGATTATCCCTCAGCATGCATAAACACACTTCAATAAAAGACTTTCAGCACAGCATTGTTGGGGTAGTTTGAAAGCCTTTTACATTGTGCTACCAACCACATATAAAGAACAGTATTCAGACATCCAATACCCTTTAATCTTAAAAACAAACAAACAAAAGCAACAAAACACAGTGATATTATATAGCTATAAGGATACGTGGACTTTGTACACTGAACTGTTGCTGACATACTTTCTACTGATGCAATCTCATAAACAGCATCCACCATCTTTTGGACATTGCAAATCAGAATGTGGAGTGTATAGACCAGCCAGTTCGTTTTCAGAAAAAAAGAATAAAATGGATTACATATCTACATAAGACAACTAGGAAAAAAAAAATGAGGGTACTTCTTGAGATAAGAAAAGACAGAGGGGGGATATAATCATCTTCAAATATATGGCAGAGTTTAAGGGAGCTAAGCTCTTTCCACAATTCTCTATAGCTTAAGTGCAATAGGCTTAAAATTTTGAGAAAAAGATTTTAGATTATACATCATGAAAAAAGTTAAAACCCAATCTACTATAAAGGATAGATAAGCTTTGAATAGTCTTCATACTTGGAATTGCAAAAACAGTTTTCAGAAACACAACAGTGTCAGTATATCTGCAACTGCTTTGATCAGTTTGCTTAATCTTCAGAAACTGTTTTCTGTGTTTAGAAATATGAGGGGCACAGAATAAGAAAAGCTGTATTTAGTCTGAAAAAGAAAATAAAAATTCCACCTAATCATGAATTTATGCCTGGACACGGTGAAAGCAGGTTTAAGAGAACAAGAATAGGGCAAACATACTGCACTTCTGCTGAGGAATCTCCAGGTTTCAAAGCATTTGTACTCTGGCGGATTTTGAAGTGATCTCTTGCAGAAGTCAATGCTAGTCTAAAACCCCTAAAAACTGGAATGTCATAAAGATTCCTCATGAATAGCATTTACCCTACCTATACGCATTTCCCTTCCCCCCCCGCCCCCCCTCCCCTGCCCCCCATTCTACAGCAAAAGTTGCAGAAAGAGTGGAGTTAATTGGTTAGAAATGAGTAATTCTTTGTACAACACTTCATCAGTTTTCCTTCAGCACAAGAACAATGAAAAGTTTGAGCGAGCATTTATATAGTTTCATTCCATATCTTTAGGGACTGATTAGGTTTTCTGAAGCTGTTGTAAGTAAGCCTTTGTTTCTGTTAAACAGAATGATGCCTTTGGAAGATCAATGAACAAATTGCCTTTTCAGAATATTAGTTCAAAAGGATCTCTTGCATTAACTTACACCTTTGACTTCAGACTTTGTCCTCGCTCTATATTGTGCAAAGCATACTGCCTGTAAGCATCCAAAATTCTTATGCGAAAAGAACAGACAGTGTTAGCTAAAAATTTTTAAAAAGGGACTGTTTCTCCAACAGTAGAAAGCAGGAAATTGTGTTTAAAAATAAATAAATAGATAAATAAATAAAAATAATAATGATTTAAGATTTTTATTTTTACCTCCTAATAAAATCATCACTTGAACTTATCCATCCATCCATCCTGATATTATCTTTAATAAATCTTCTCATTATTCTGTGCCTTAAAATAAGAATTCTTCAAGATGTAGGCAGAACAGAGTGCAAGCCACTTGGAATAAATAAGCAATTGTGGATAGATAAAAACAGGCAATCATATGATTAGAACACAGTAGTTCAGAGAGATCTGGGACAATTCTGCAGTGGCATAGCAGTTAACTTCAAACAATGGCATCACTAGTACTACCATGAGACCAAAAAAAATGCAGCAAATAGCAAATCTATTCTAAAACTAAGCAGTCGGGCCACATGGGGTCTTTTGAGACCTGTGTGTTTCAATTAACGTATACATTAAAGTTTTTTCCTAGCTCTTACTAGTCAAGAAGAAAAATGCTTTTTGCCTCTGCTGCCTCATGGATTTCCTATTCTCAGAACACTCTGTAGTTTGAGGAAATACTCTTATTCTTTCAATGCAATGAACTGGTTTGTTCAAATTTGATCAGGAACTACAAGCTTTGTCTCACATTGCACTAATGAACAAAAAAATGACAAAGCCCCAACAAACAATAAAAGCTCTGCTAGCTGTAAAATATACAAGGCCATCTTTAAAAATCTTTTTTTCCTGGAGTCTTCCAAGACTTTACTCCACATTCAGTTTCTGTCTCCAGCAGTCATATGCCTCTCCCCCAATAGGTTTATTTCCCGTATCTCCCAAATTGGTTTATTTCTCATTAAACCTGGGCCGTCTTATGAACAGCATTATTTCAGCAGATAGCTCCCATTCTTTACTGGTCTATTAACACTTTGTCTCAAACAGGAATACTAGTAGCTAAAGTGTAGCTATTCAACTTCATAATTAATGGTCTTTATCTTTTTGATCTCATGTTTTACAACAAATTGTAATGTGATAAATCTACTTGATACAGACTTTAGTCCCATTTATACACAGATCAGTTACTGGCCTCTGTGATGACATATTCTTCCCCACAAAAGGTGCCTAATTTTTGTAAGAAGCTATTGTAAGTTTTTTTTTTATAAACAACTAGAAGGAGCTTTGGTGATGGTGTGTGTATCAACAGGGGCTGAGCACAACTCAAAGCAGATTTCTATCTGTTAAGACCAAGACAGGTGCAACACAGGCATTTTTGAGAAATTTCGTGTCAATGACTATCCAATTCAGCTCCTGAAATTAGATACTGCCTGGAAAAGACTGAGGAAGTTGCACCATTTCAGTATCTGAAATACCAGAACACAAAATGATATCAACTTATTACTAGTTTTATGATTTCTATATAGCCACCTATGTTATATCCTCATAATTTTGAAGGAATGAATCCAAGAAGTCCACATACCGTTTTGAAAAATCTGTTTTATTGTTGTTTGTTTAAACCCAGAAAATTTGTACTCATCTATGCTTAGCAAGCTTAACAGCTCTTCAGGATGTATTCAGCTGAAGGCCTAGAAAGTTTCTACAGAATTTTAGGAAGTCAGGAAGACAGTCTTCTATGCTAGGGTTCATGTTCAACACCACTAGGAAAAAAAAAAAAAAATCTAGTGAAAGTATACAATTACACTGAATTTTAATGTTGATGGTCCCCTTTACATACGGGAGCAACATGCTTTACATTCTATCACAAAACTTATTTGTTGTTCTCTCACCTACCTACAGTCCATGACACAGCTATTCCTCACAATGTTTCTTTCTGGATTCCCCAGCTAAACCTTTCTAAAACTCAGTGCTGTTCTCATTTCAGTTTTAAATATGCATAGAAAGAAAAATGCGCAGAAGAGGGGAGGAAGTAAAATAAAGACTTGGTATAATGTAAATACAATATATTTCTAAGCAGTGTACAACATATGAACAAACTGTAGACAAATTTTACCTTAGGAAGCTGATTTTGCATCCATTACTTCAGACCCAATCTAAGCTTTTACTATGGCAAAATAGTAAATAGTAATATGGTTTCGGTACACATCATCTAGTAGATGGTTAAAAAATCTTTAATGCAGACACCCCTCATCATTATAGAAATATCCTCAAAGGCATTCCTACTGAAGAATCTGAAGTGGGGACTGAAGAATCAGGGAAAATACTCCCTATCCCTTTTCCAAACCACAAGAACTTTCAGGAAAAATAGCCAGCTGCACCAATGCTGCTAGAAGGTTTATGCCTTGATACTAAACATACACAAAATTTGCAATGCATTTACACTAATGTAATTTTAATAAACTAGACCTTGAACATTTTACCTACAATACACTTCTTCCTTTAATTTTTGGGGCACTGGCTAAAATAAACAAAAAAAACCTTCTGGTTTCATCCGCATTCATATGAATGTTACTGCACATTTCACAGTTCACATTTCACCAACTGCTACTGATGTCACTTTTACATTTTAGATTTATGATTCAAGTTTAGTAATTGCCCCAGATTTTAAGAATACAAAACTAAACAAGCTTAACTGAAGTCTTGAACTCTTGCTTAGGTGGCCAAGATGGCCAACAGCATCCTGGCTTGTATAAGAAGCAGTGTGGCCAGCAGGGCTAGGGAATTGATTGTCCTCCTGTACTAGACGCTGGTGAGGACACACCTCGAGTACTGTGTTCAGTTTTGGGCCCCTTGCTACAAGAAGGACATTGAGGTGCTCGAGAGAGTCCAGAGAAGAGTGACAAAGCTGGTGAGGGGCCTGGAGAACAAGTCTTATGAGGAGCGGCTGAAGGAGCTGGGCTTGTTCAGCCTGGAGAAAAGGAGGCTCAGGGGTGACCTTATTGCTCTCTACAGGTACCTTAAAGGAGGCTGTAGTGAGGTGGGGGCTGGCCTGTTCTCCCACATGCCAGGTGACAGACAGGACAAAGGGGAATGGGCTAAAGTTGCGCCAGGGGAGTTTTAGGTTGGATATTAGGAAGAACTTCTTTACCGAGAGGGTTGTTAGGTATTGTAATGGGCTGCCCAGGGAAGTGGGTGAGTCACCATCCCTGGAGGTCTTTAAAAGATGTTTAGATGTAGAGCTTAAGGATATGGTTTAGTGGAGGACTTCTTAGTGTTAGGTCAGAGGTTGGACTAGGTGATCTTGGAGGTCTCTTCCAACCTAGATGATTCTGTGATTCTTTACCACAAGTCTGAATAGTGACACCATGTGGCATATACCCGTAAGTAGTACCCGTAAGTCACTGGACCAACATCTGCTCACACCAGTTAAAGATGGCCCTCACAAGTAAATTAAGCCAAAATCAGTAGTTTTATCAGCAAAAAGGTTCTACATTTCTGGTTCAACAAGACTCTATTAGTAATATCCTTAATACCTACAAGGTATTGAAGTATCACACCTAATGTTAGGAACATTGTGAACAGTCTTCATTTGTTCACTAAAACTTACATACAACATGTTAATTAGTTAAAAAAAAATCTCAACACAAAAATCAGTAGTTGGAGTTTTTATTTCCAAAGGGCAAAACATCTAAAATAAAATTAAGTTCTAACAATTCTGAGAAGTCCACAGAGGATAAGTTTACTGATAGTTTAGTATCAGAAAAAAAGAAAAAAAAAAAAAACTGTTAACATTCCAGATTACTGTAGAAAAAGTGTATATCACACTTAGGGCATACAAGATTTACAGCAAACAAAAAATACCCTGTTTTAAAAGTAATCTCCCTTCCAAATAGGTTTTCATTTTAGTGCATCCTATCTCATAGACTTTACATTTACATTTCTCTATATACAAAAAGGTACAACAAATTGGTACAGTATTTATTGCAACAAATTAAGGATGCTATAATATACACAGTTTTAATTAGCCCCTCCCCAACTTGCATATCCTCTTGCTTCTTACTCCTCCCTTGAAGCAGTCTCAGGTTCTAAGATTAAGTTCTTTCATTGAAAGGCACGTACTTATCTACAACAGAAGAAATCAACGCATTAATGTGGAATATCTTGTTTCAAGGGTAACTTTAGTCCATATTTTTAAAGACCATATTTTAAGACAACAAAGAACAATATTACGTTACTAAACTTGTCCATAAAAACACTTAGTTACCACATTATTGTGAAGTGCCATAAAACACCATTCACTGAAATAGAAAAATAGAAATTTTTTAATATAGAAATATTAATAGAAATAGAAAAACAGTGCATTTCAAAGACACATTTGCCCTCTTCCACACATTAGACGTATTTTTGAAGTAGACAGGTTAAATAGTGAATAGATATGTTGTCACATGAAGTGAACTACATGCTTCATATTTAATTATATATTAAAAATAATAATATATGGAGATCTGTATATGTATGTAGGCAGTTTATAAGATTAAATACCTCTTAAGACACAGTGAACTTACAAGGCTCTTGAGTTCCTATTCAAATTTTGGTAACTCTAAGTAGCATTCCATAATTGGAATGCTATCATAAATAGAATTATTGTTTACCTTGTGACTTGCAGTGCAGCAAGTAGAGCATGCATGAAGTGATTTAATGAAGACTGTAAACTATCAGTGTGATCGCACTGGGTTTACGTGGAAAGGGTTTTGCTAGCAGAGGGTTGCATGGGTGGCCTCTTTGAGCAAAGCCCAGCAGCTGCCCCATGTTACATCAGAGCCAACACCAGGTGGCTCCAAAAGGGACCTGCTGCTGGCCACAGCTGAGCCAGTAAGTCATGCTGGTTGGGCCTTTGTAAGAGCAGACTTCAGAAAGGGAAAATAATCTGCTGCACAACAGCTGAATCAGCTTTTGTGCATATGCTGCTGAACCAGCCCCGCAGCACCACAGTGCAGCACCTCCTGAGTACCGCAGGAGGGCAGGAGGTGCTGCAGGCAGGCAGCAGCAGTTCCCCTGCAGGCTGTGCAGGGAGAGGCCCCTGGTGGAGCAGGCTGTCCCCCTGCAGCCCATGGGTCCCCCATGGAGCAGATCTCCACGCTGCAGCCCCCCCATGGGTGGAGGAGCCCCCGGCGGAGCAGGTGGATGTGGCCTGGAGGGGGCTGCGGCCCATGGAGAGCCCACACAGGAGCAGGGGGTCTGGGGGGAGCTGCCGCCCACCCGTGGGGGACCCGTGCTGGAGCAGTTTGCTCCTGGGGAATGGATGGACGGACCCCGTGGTATGGAGCTGTGTGGGAGCAGGTCTTGAAGAGCTGCTGCCTGTGGGCAGCCCCTGCAGGCTCAGTTTGGGAAGGGGCATCCTGTGGGAGGGACCCCACACTGGAAAGGTGTTTTTCCTTTTGGGGGGTAAGTGGTTTTTTGTTTGCTTTCAGTTCTCACTGCTCTAGTCTGTTAGTAATAAACAATAAAGTACATTAATCTCCAAATGCTGAATCTGTTTTGCTCATAATGTTAATCGGTCAATTGTCTTGTTCTCATGAGCCTTTTTTTCTTATCTTCTCCCTCCATTCTTTAGAGGAGTGAAAGCAGCATGGTAGAGCATAGCTGCCCATCAGCTTAAAGCCACCACAATCTGTCATGCAGATACAAAAGATTTAGTTGAAAGAAGGTAAAATAAACTAACTGAAAAAGTGTATTCCTAATTATTGATATATGTTATATACATATGTAAATAAGGTCCTCGATACCAGCTTTCAAGCTTTCTTTCCAGCAATGCTGTCCCTTTGCAAAGTTTGGGCAGCATTTTATTAACCTCATCTATACTGAGCTTTGTTGAGCACATTCAGATTGTCCAGCACTGTTTTTCTCCTTTGCACAAACATTATTTCAAGATAACAGTAACTTCTGTCAGAAGAAATTTTTAGAGCTTCTCCCTACACAGCTAGCTCTCAGTATACGTACGCAGAGTAAATTTGCTTTATCGACTATATATAACTTAAAGTATTTGATTATTGTAATGGCTTTGATCACTTAAGCGCTTACTTTCTGAGCTATTCTGAAACAACAGTAACATTATCTTCCTCTATTATCTATTGTTATTCACTTCTGTGGTTATTACTTTTATTCTGTTTATTTCCTCAGCACATTAACAGAAACATCTGCTGTTTGGTTAGATCACTCATTTGCTCCAATTAAATTCTTTTTCTTGCAGTTTGGCTCAAGAGTGACATTATCACCTCTTCTGTAAGCCAACACCATTACATTTTATGCCATTTTGGAGGCCGGAAGGAAGGAAGGAAGGAAGGAAGGAAAGTATCCCTATGCTACAAATTATATCACTATATATTTATATAGTGATATCTATCACCCCAGGCTATGACATGTTCTAACCTTGTTCAAATATTCCACTTTTCCCACTTTTTCTGAGCTTTTGGACTTGGATCAAAACATTGTGTATTTTTAGTTTTCATCTGAAACTGATGCTTTTAAATCAAATACTATGTATGCACTGGAGGTTCTTCCATCAACAAGATGCCACAGTATGTGAGGAGCTAATTGTTAATGTTAACACTAATAAACACTTGACTTATCTTACAACAGCTATGTCACGAGATAAACGAAATACTGCTAATCTATTCAAATTGTTTGTACCCTATGTCATTTCGACAACTATTTTTAAAATGGTCTGATCAGTAAGTTACTTTCAAACACTTCCAAATTACTTGGTATATCTAAAGCAAACTGATTTGCAGCAGTACTGAGAATAGCTGAACAGAAGTTGAGTATTTGGGACAGCTTTTTCCTTAACTACAACACCACGCCATAATGTTTTGTTTTTTTCTTAGATACCAAAGTTAACAGCAAGTGCAATCTGGCGCCTGCTGTCTACAGTCATAAAGCACCTTAGTGTAAAACATATTGCAGTCCTTACTGTTGTTGGTTCTATTTCATCCCATAAGGAATTGAAGTGAAATACCCAAGAATGGAATAACTGAAGTATGTAAAGCAGATAAACTTGGTTAGCTTTAGTAATGACACTATTTTTAACCAAAATATCCTACCTTCCTCTCCATTTTTCTGGAACTCATATGCTGAAGACAAATGGTGTTCTGGAGTAGATCAAGAGTAGCAGAAGTACTAAGTTTATCTTCTTGACCACTTAATTCTTGCCCATTTAAAATTTAAATGATCTTGATACCCTTTCTCCAACTACATATGAAACAAAGTAGTGAGCTGTTTCAGTCAAGATACTTATCATCCATACCTTCTCTGCATAGACATACAGCTCCTTTATACAAACCTTCGAGGATGATTGGCATCAAATAGTGTTGTATCATCATCATCATCATCTTGCTCTAAGGGAGTCAGCTCCATGTTTTCTATGTTTGTATCCAAAACTCCGTATCTTCGGGTTTTTCTGTTACGTCTTCGGAGCCTGAAATGTATTGTACCGTATGTAAGTTCTACAAATTTATCACTACTTTCAATTCCAACAATGCAAGAAGACCATCCCTTAAAACACAGCTATATTGATACTGATCATAAGTTTTAAGAAATTATCATATTTACACTGTAACACCCTTAGCTCAGTGAAATTCAGACTGTACACAATTCCAAGTGTGAAGAATTTACAAGAAATGACTGAAGCCAATAAAAATTTGTCACCTTTAGTTTAGTATAGAATTACTGCAGAGAATACAAAAAGGCACTTAACAGCTAATACAAAAAAGTGAATACAAAACAGTGGTTAGTAACTATATGCAAGAGCCATATAAGAACATATGCAAGCACACTTCTAGCAGATCCTACAATTAAAAAAAATCACCTTGCTATGAATTTGGTACTTGCTTTATAAAACAGCAGATCAAATCAGAGATAAACTCAGCAAAACTGTAGGAGAGATTCAGCACAAGCCGTGGGTTCCATCATTTTAAACCTGATGCCTAGTGAAGACTTTACAAATAACATTAAGAAGCTTCACTGTTCATAATTGAGTCAATCACCCATACAATAACTAGCAGTAAAACATGCAGAACAGAGTTTGAAAAAAACAAAGATCTCTTTTTCATAGTAATGAGTAATAAACATCTTGCACTAATAACATTGCATATAAAAAAATTCACTACCTCTTATATTGTAAGTGAATTTGTTTATTCTATTTCACACTTAAGGTCAAAGGTCTAAATTCTTGACATAAATGAAAACTTATGTGTAGAAGAGAATTAACTTTTTCAAACCAACTCATGGTGAGGGAAAACCTAAAAATACTCAGCAGACACTCACTATTCATCAAGGTCATTGCTACTGCAATCAGGAAATGGAGAGGTCAATTTCCTAATTTTAAAAACTAACACCTCAGCTATTTCCTCTTCAATACCAAACCTTGCATCCTCAGTTGTAGGATTTTTATTTTATTTTATTTTGATTTTTTTAACATTTTGAAGTAAGAGAGAACCCGTAGAATCAATGTCATCTGTATTTCACAAAATTGATTCACAATGTGATTCATATTTCAAGATTAAGACAGTACTTACAAACACTGTCTGAATTTTTCTTTCTTATGTTCACTGTGTGGGCCTTCCCGTGTAAGCCTCAAGCATGCTTTTGGCTTTGCACAACTATAGGCATTGAATATACCTTGCACAACTCTTTGAGGATCAGGAACTCAAGATAACTAGCTTCTCAGCAAACAATATACAAAGGTGTCTGTTACAAAATGCTGGCAGAGCCACTTTCAGCTAATTCATACTCACAAACAGCAGTTATGTGAGAGCAGTATGACTGAGCAAAGTTGTCTTAAAAACAAATACTTTCTAGACATTTAGTTAAAACCACAGAGACACATTTCCCCTAAGCAACACCTAAAATAGAATTTACAAATCTACATTAGGTGCCTAGGAAAGGCATTCATGGCTTTCAGGAATTTAAATACGAGATGTTTCAAAGGTAATCATCAAAAAGAGTATAGTAAGTTATGCTTAAATAATATTATATCCACTATACTATTGCTATACAACATATAGTCACCTCTGAGGCACCACTTCAGTCATCTTGTTAGAGAGATGAATATGATATTGAGAGTTATGACTTCAGAGTTTGTCCTGAACTCTGGTATGCTTTTTTATTCTTTTTATTTTTGCTTACTTATTTTTTAGATGTTACAGAAAAGAACCCTCCTTTTCACATTAAGCAGCATCCATTCTTGGTCTACATTATATCCCAGTGAATTAGACCTCCTTTTGTAGTTGAGAAACAAATACTAACATGTTCAGATGAGAAAGGTATAAAATATATACCTTTTTTGAAGCATGCAAACATATGATATTATATAAAAAAATAAATAAATTATCAAGATAATTTCCTCCACCTGATTTGAAATAGAATCAACTGTTTGCCATATGTGATTCAGTACAACTTATTGCTTAAATCTAAGGCTAATCACAAAGACACACAAATATCACCTTTCCGCTCAAGATAAAATTCATTTAATTTCAACAGACCTCAACATAGAAAGAAGTGGTATACTATAAAGTACCAAGCAGAAGAAAATTAGAAGCCTTATGATGAAAAATATGGTTGCTTCATACACATTGTGTCTTTCATTTTTGCTATGCAACTGACACTCGGACAAGCACTTGTGGACATGTGAACAGTAGAAACCCTCTGCCATCCAGAGTGACCTTGGAGAGGTGGGCCTGTGCCAAACTCATGGGGTTCAACAAGGCCAAGTGCAAGGTCCTGCATCTGGGCCAGGGTAATCCCAAGCACAAATACAGGCTGGGTGGAGAATGGGTGCAGAGCAGCCCTGAGGAGAAGGACCTGGGGGCGTTGGCTGACAAGAAGGCCAACATGAGCTGTCAATGTGCACCTGCAGCCCAGAAAGCCAACCGTATCTTGGGCTGCATCAAAGGAAACAAGGCCAGCAGGGCTGCAAAGGTGATTGTCCCCCTCCACTCTGCTCTCTTGAGACCCCACCTGGAGCACTGTGTTCAGCTCTGGAGCCCCCAGCACAAGGAGATGGACGTTTTGGAGTTAGTCCAGAGGAGGGCCACAAAAATGATCAAGGGTCTGGAGCACCTCTTCTACAAACACAAGCTGAGGGAGCTGGGCTTGTTCAGCCTATAGAAGACAAGACTCCACGGAGACCTTATAACTGCCTGATACCTAAACGAGGCCTGCTGGAAAGCTGGGGAGGGACTCTGTCAGGGAGTGTGGTGATAATAGAGAGTAATGTATTTAAACGAAAAATAAAAATAAAAATATATATATAGATTCAAGTGAATGCTGTTGAGAAACTGACAAAAGAATTACTAGTGACATAAAAACTTTATCTGTATACAGATTAGTTACCAAACTAAAGCTAAAACGATACTGGAAATGCTTATATGACATACCTGTATGATTACTGGGACGCTAAAGCACCATCTAGAAAAACTAACTTAGGTCTGGCTACCATGTGACTGTTAGGAAGAAACCGTAGGACAAAAGCCCAATTTTGTTAAAGTCTGTAGCATTCTCTACTGCTCTCAGCAACTTAATGCAGACTATTTTTATCTCTGTAGTTACAACTTGTGGTCTAAGAAGATGAAGTTACAAAAAATGGCATTAAAAGTTCATAAAAAGACTCATATTTTTCTGTGTTCAGTTCCAATCCTTTTTCAAAGACAGCTGACAGCAATAGAGGAATCTGCAATAAAATACGAGCAAATAGTATGACAATAACATCAGAGATCATATAAATAACAGATTGTTAAAAGGGGAGATAAATAAGAAATACTGGTGGCCAAAAAAAAAAGGCAGAAAATATACAAATATGAGAGTAGAAGCAAAACAGTTCAAGTTCAAAGCACATCTAAGAAACATGAAAAAAGACAAAGGACATAGGAGGGTGAGAGGGTGAGATTTTTTTTTTATACTACCCTAATTTGTGCAGTACAACTACCCTTGCTACAAACCACAAAGACTGAAAACAAGATCATTTCAATAGAGTATGAATTGCTAATTAACCTTTCTATGTAAAGTGCCTTTCTACTAGTAGCTTTTTACTGATAGTAAGCTCTCAATAAACCAATCTCCCCTGTTCCCTACTACTCAGCTTCACAATATTTTAGAGGATTCTGCAAAGTACATGACAAGGGAATTGTAGCTCTCGAATCACCTCAAGCTTCAACTGTTACTTACAGGCCAGCAGCATATATCGCCTTAAAAGTGAAAATCATCATTTTTTGATCATCAGTTCCAAAGACTGACTACTTTCAAATACGTGGATAAGTTGAAGTAAACACAGCTCAGGAAAAAAAAAAAATATATATATATATGTATATATATGTCATTGAGGAGTTTGGTAATGGTCTTTGTGACAGAACTAAATTTTAGCTGTCCCAGAGCTGACCCAGTGTTGGGAAAGTCACACCCTAAAGTGTAGTGCCTGGTATGAGAAAACAACAAGATACAGCCCATTCACATTCTCCATTAATGAATATATTTCAAACTACATGGATTCTTCCTGAGCCATGACCTGGGTCAGTTACAAAACATATTCTCAATAAAAATAAAGTTATCACTTTATTTCACCCTAACTGAGCCCTCCTTTTTCTTTTTCTCTTTTTTTTTTTTTCCTCCCCTGTGAAGGGCATGCATGAGCTACATGTTTATATCCATAAAAGAAATTCAACAATCCAAATCCAAAGGCTTACAAATAACTTCCTGGAAAAGTACTTTAAGTTGAAATTATGGAACACAATTCATGCTGAACCATGTTCTGTCTTAACATGCCACATTGTGTAGCACACTAACAGCTGTCTAAAAGAAAAAATAGCCATTTCATCTCATCTGCTACACTTGCTTTCTCATCATCTCAGAAAGACTAGAGAACTAATGGCGTGTAATTCTTCCTACATAAACACCAAAGACAACCTTTGACTGCAATAGGCTTCATGTAAAAACAACAGAGCTGTACAGACAAGAGGAAGGAGGGAAAACAAAGGATGCATGAATTGCAACACTGGCATTTCTGTGCATCATGAAGTGCAAACAGAGAGCATTTTTTGTAAAGTATCAAATCTAAGAGGCAAAAAAGGCAATAAAACTAAAGCTGGTAGACTAAACAAGGCATCATACTGTCCAAGCTTTCTTACTCCCAGCTTTGATGGATGTGCTGCTGTATGATCTTGCTGCTACACACATCGTTCCTTGAAAATCTTCTGTTATAAAAGGAAGGTGCAGGCAGCTCAACCTTTATAACAAGGCGAGTGAAACAAGTCCCACATATAAAACTAGAAATAAAATCAAGATACATTGTTTTCCTGACAGAGAAACTGCATCATCAGCAATGTCAGCAAGAAGGTCCACGGGAGCTTCCTATAGTTTACACAACCATACTCGGAAAAAAAAATAGTTATAGCCACAACAGCAAAGTTGTAACAGCTCTCAAGTTTTTCTTGAGAATGGATTTTCAGGGAACCACCTTGAAACAAAGTCAAATGGCTCTGAAAATAGAAAAGTCATATCTTTATCAGAATGTACAAAATTTATTAATTATCGACCTCCATTAAGAAAGGCTGCAAGTTTCTGATGTGGTAAAGAATGTGTAGTGGCTACAGACTGAATTGTTTTGTAAAGAATCTTCCTTCAGTTTCTATACCTGAGCTATCTTTTATAATATCTAAATTTCTGACAAATAATTGTTTGAGTGTAACAAAACTACTCCACTAGCAGAACAATAAAAATGGCTGTAAAACCTCAAAATTGTTGAGAGCACAAATAGAACGTGCAGCCATTTTCTCTCAGACCAACACTAGCAAACAAGCGTTTATCTCACTTGGATTTAAGGTTGCTGCTACAAGTCAATCTCCAAGTTAATCTGAACTGCTTACTACAGGCATAGATTGAATGTTTCAGACAAGCACTTCTAACCAGGAGCACCTTAAAAGTGCAGCTGTCAGGAGCTTATCAATCCCAAAATGGACTGGTGCAAGCGGGTGATTGTTTTTGTGCATTAAAAACAAAATCAACTAGGCATGCACTTAAACTAAACACAAGAGTGTACTGAAAAAGAAAAAAAAAGAAAAAAAAAAAAGGCTTTTAAGATCTAATCCTCTAAAGTGGTAACTACTTATTTAGTTGTCCCTAATCCTAACAAGACAAGTACAGAGAAATTGGTGTTTTGTTCTGAGAGTGGGTATGTATGCTGTGCTAATTTAAGCAAGACTTTCACTTCACATTACCCCAGTGCTGGCCAACTTTGTGTTCATTCCGGAAGAGGTTTGTTTAACAATGTTTCCCAAAACAAAGCAAAACAAACAAAAAAAAGTCAACTGCATATTTATTTTCTAGATGTTGTAAAAAGCTCCACTGAAACTCCAGTGGACATGGTTCTTAAAACAAAGAATTAAAATCAGCTGCTAATGAAGTTGTGAAGTGTGTAAGTAAATCTATACAAGATTGAAAGAGAATTACATCTGCTTAAAGAAACAGCCTGATAACAGGCTGATTTGGTAACAACAAAAAGTGGAAGTATTCACAGCCCTGTGCAGTGAGTTGACCTCAGCTGGCTGCCCAGAGCACGCCACGCTGCTATCTCAGCCCCCCACACCAGCGCAGGGCGAGAAAATGAGATGAAAAAAATTCCTGGGCTGAGATAAGGCGTGGGAGATCACTCACCAGATACTGCTGCGGGCAAAACAGACTCAACTTGGGGAAGATTAATTCAGTGCCGATCCATACCAGAGTAGCGCAGTGAGACCTGAAAGTTATGAACACCTTCTTCCCTCATCTCCCCCTGACTTCCCAGACTCAACTTCACTCCCACTCTTCCACCTTCTCCCTGCCCCTGAGCACCTCAGCAGGGTGAGGAACGGGGGCTGTGGTCAGATCACAGAGCTTTTATCTGTGATAAAAGCCCATACTGTTCCCCTGCTCCGGTGTGGGGTCCATCCCAGGGGATGCAGCCTTTCACAAGCTGCTCCAACAGGGGTCCTGATCTCAAGCAGGGGAACTTCTGCCCTGGAGCCTGGAGCACCTCCTGCCCTCCTGCTGCGCTGATCTGCGTGTCTGCAAGGCTGTTTTTCACTCCTCTCCCAGCTGCTGTTTCACAGCATTTTTTTCCCTCCTTCAATCTGCTGTCCCAGAGGCCCATCCAGCATCACTCCCTGGCTCAGCTCTGGCCAGCAGCAGGTCCCTTTTGGAGCAGCTGGAGCTGGCTCTGCTCTGACATGGGGCAGCTGCTGGGCTCTGCTCACAGAGGCCACCCCTGCAGCCCCCTGCTACAAAGCCTTACCACATCAACCCAATACAGATTTCACTTGCTGAGTCAAGGTGCATCTAGCAACTGAATAATAATCTTGCTCAAAAATACAATCAAATTTGAACTTGAGGTCTAATTTCCTAACATCATAGAATGGTTTGGGTTGGAAGGGACCTTAAAGATCACCTGGTTTCAACTCCCCTCCCATGGGCTGGGACGTCTTCCACTAACACCAGGCTGCCCAAAGCCCCATCCAGCCTGGCCTTGAACACCTCCAGGGACGGTGCATCTACGGGTTCCCTGGGAAACCTGGTCCTGGTGTACTTGCCACCCACTGAGTGAAGAATTGGCAAGGCCAACCTTGCACTTGGCCTTGTTGAACCTCATGAAGCTCACACAGGCCCACCTCTCCAGCCTGTCCAGGTCCCTCTGGATGGCATCCCTTCCCTCCAGCATGTCAACTGCACCACACAGCCTGGTGTCATCAGCAAACTTGCTGAGGGTGCACTCAATCTCTCTGTCTGTGTCACCGACAAAGAAGATAAACAGCACCAACCCCAGTACTGACCTCTGAGGAACAACAACTTGTCACTGCTCTCCACATGAACATTAAGCTGTTGACCACTACTCTTTGAGTGTGACCATCCAGCCAGTGCCTTACTCACCCAGTGGTCCTTCCCTCAGACCCATTACTCTCCAAATTAGAGACAAGGATATCATGGGAGACCGTGTCAAATGCTGTGCACAAGTTCACGCAGATGATGTCAGTTGCACTTCCCCTGTCCACCAATGCTGTGACCCCACTGCAGAAGGCCACCAGATGTGTCAGACACGAGCTGCCCTTGGTGAAGCCATGTTAGCTGTCACCAATCACCTCCTTATTTTCTATGCACCTCAGCACAGTTTCCAGGAGGATCTGTTCTGTGATCCTGCCAGGCACAGAGGCGAGACCGACTGGCCTTAGTTCCTGGGGCCCTCCTATTTTCCCTTTTTTAAAATGATGATTATTTCCCCTTTTCCAGTCAGTGGGAACTTCATTAGACTGCCACGACTTCTCAAATTAGATGGAGAGGGGAAAAGCAACTACATCCGCCAGTCTCCTCAACAGCTGTGGATGTAACCTATCCCATGGTCTTGTGCACCTTCAGGTTCCTTCGATGGTCTCAAACCTGATCTTCATCATTGTCCTAGGCCTTGCCTTTGCCTTCTGGGGCCTGGGCCACGTGGCTGGAGCTTTTGTCAGTGAAGGCTGTGGCCAAGATGTCACTGAGTACCTCAGCCTTTTTCATATCCCAGAAAGCAGACCTCCCATTTCCTTCCAGGGAGGGCCCACAGTTTCCCTCATCTTCCTTTTATCACCAACGTACCTACAGAAGTCACTTTTAGCACCTGCAGAGCCAGGTTGGCTTACACTTCAACAACACCGAGTTCTTATACTGTACCAGCTTTGAATTTAAACCAGCTTTTTTTTTGCCATAAAATGGGATTACTTATGTCATGGTAAAATATGCCACATTTAGGTTAGAATTCTGCTTAGTAAAGCCAGTGTGAAGGAATTATTTTTCCTTTGCTCTCAATAAGCAAAACTTTACTCAGCACTTCTCATATCAAGGCGCTAATCTGGTTAGGTGCCAGATTTTTGTTTTCTTTTTATTTTTTTTTATTACTGTTTTGCGTATACACAATGCATCACCTTGAATCTAACTTTGTGTTGCCTCCAAGGACAGGGAACCTGCTAGTCACAGAGTAATGAAGCACTGCTGGAACCTGGAGCACGAATATTCATCTGCCTCAGAGAATCTGTGAAATAAGTGAGCTCAGTGCCCCTTCCTCCCATTCACAGACGCTTGAGACCACCAAGATGAGGATGATTTTCCCTGCAGGACCCCAGCAGAGGGGCACACAGCAGGACGGACGGTTCCAGACCTCACACAAGGGGCTGCAGACACTGGACACACAACACCAGGCTCACCCCTTCTGACAACACCGACAGCAGCTGAGACGCTCCTCCTGCAGCTCAAGCAACGCCAGGCTCTTACTCCATCTGCTTCCCTGGCCTCCCCATACTCATCCTCCAACCACCTCCGCCGCCCCCCCGGCGTCGCCCCGCTCCCTCACCGCACGGTCCGGATGACGAAGTAGACGATGAGGGCGGCGCTGGCCAGCACCAGCACGGACAGGGCGCGCTGGGTCATGGGCTGCCCCTGCTCGGGCGGCGCCGACACCTCGGCCAGCCGCCCGCCGCCGCCGCCGCCCCGCGTGGCGCCGCCGCCCGCCGCCGGCTCCGTGGGCCGCGGGGAGGCGGAGGTGGCGGAGGCCCCGGCAGCGCCGCCGAGCGCTTCCCCGCAGCGCGCTGCCAGCACCAGCCCCGCCAGCAGCCAGGCGGGCGGCGGCGGCGGCCACATGCTGCTGCCCCCCGCCTTCCTCCTCCTCCTCCTTCTTCCTCCTGCTCCGGCCCCGCGGCCCAAGCAGCGGCCGGGCCCCGCCGCCGCCCGGCCCACGGAAGCGGAAGGGGTCGGAGCCCGGCGGCTGCCGCTGCCATGGAGGCGCCGGGGGGGCCGTGGCTGCGGGGCGGTGCCTGCATGCACGGGGCGGGCGGGGGCTGGGGTGCCGGGCGCGGGGGTGTCCCCCTCACGAGAGCGGGGGGATTAATGCAGTTTATGGCCTGCCAGGAACAGGTGAGAGCAGTGACTGAAAGCAAACGCAAGACTTCACCCAGACACCCTCTTGCACCTCCTCTGCCCAGGTGGCGCCCAGTGCAGCCTCGCTTGGTTTGGCTTTCCCAAATTGGAGTAGCAGAGGGTGCCCGTCTGTTTGGTAATGAAGGTCACACCTTAATGTTTGGTGATTACGAATCAGAATTGTCGTCTCCTTGGCTTTTCCTATAAGAAGCTTTTGTGCAAAGCTTTTAAAAAGGGAGAAGCAGAAGGAGAGTTTGGAAGCAATAGTGCCTGAAGAGCTCAGATCCTCTTTCTGTTCAGGTAAATGGTGGATCAGGAAGCGAGTGTGTCTCCACTGGTGCCAACAACTCCACTAAGGCCATGAGCCATCAATACCGTAACAAGCTAGTGGAAATTCATGAACTGGAGAGGTGAGACCCCAAATTATGTTCAGTTTTTGTACAGAGTGAATCCACTGTGATATTTATGCTGCTTGTGTAATGTGCGTGTCTACAGTGCAGTTCCATCAGTAAATGTCATCCGGTAGGATAATCCTGTAATTATTCTTTAATTAGGGGGTTGTTTTCTTTGGCTCTTTTTTTTTTTTTTTTTTTTTTTTTGTGAATAGTAAACTACAGCAAGGAGTTCAGAGATCTGATCTGCATATTGAAGAAGAGGAAATAAACCTTTGCAGTGATCCCCACTCTCTTAGCATGCTTGTTCAACCAGTTTTCAACATACTTCATGGTAAATCAAGGTGAAAAAAAATAAAGAAAAAACACAAATCAAAACACCAAGCCAACCCAACAGTCTTTGTAACAGCTGGAGCAAAGTGCTACAGGCCCTGTGGGTCAGATGGCTCATGGTGATGGCCCCCATAGCCCTTGCTGCTTATCTTGGGGCACCAGCAGAGGCCACGTCAGCTTGGCCTCCAGCCTGGCCTCCAGCCGAGCGTGTGTGTGAGTCTTGGAGCATTGAGCAAGGGTTTGGTGGAGCTGTGCTGTGGGGCTGCTGGCAGCCTCTCGCAGTGCCCATCCCTGCAGCCATTCGTGTGTTTCCCTGGCACTGCCTCGCTCAGGGGTAGGGGGTGGGGGGCATGGGACGGAGCAGCTGCAGGGCCAGGGGTTTCTGTTGAGGGGCTGGGGCATTGCTGCTGCTCACCCCAGCACAGCGAGTGACTCTGGCCTCTCTCCCTTGTGCAGTTTGGGACACCCTTTGGCAGCTGCCGCTTTGGGGCAGGGGAGCAGCTCCTTGACCTCAGCTCTCCTCAGCCCACAACGAGCCCAGAGGTCATGGACATGCCATTGGACTGGATTTGCCCAGACTGTGGGCACAGTCAGGGTGATGTTGCCTACGTGACTCTCTGTCTCCACCAGCCTTGCTACACTTGTGCACTGCGGTGGGCAAAGAAAAATCCAAGTTGTCCCCTCTGCAATGAGACAATCAAGACCATCAAGTACTTGGTGAGGTCAACCGACAATTACTTGGAGTGTGCTGCCCCAGAGTCCGCAGAGTGCTTGGCTGAGGGCCAGGAGGATGGGCAGGCGGCTGCAGAGCTGGTACCCAGGGCTCCTGAGCTCAGCTTCCCACACAAGGTCTGTGCAGCCTTTTTTCGAGAGCACCTAGAAAACATCAAGTCTCTGCTCGCATGGCTGCAGCAGGAGCTGGAGATGATCTCTGGTGCCGAGTGGTGGGAGGTGGCTGCAGGCCAGACAGAGCACTGTGATCGGCTTCCTGTGCCTCTACAGGCATCAACAAGGAGGGCTTGGTGCAGGTGCTGCAGCCTTGCCTGAAAAAACAGACACTGCCATTTGTGGTGCAGCTCATCACTGCCGCTGTGGAGCTGTGCAGCACAGAGATCCATCAGCAGCATGACCACCAGGATGCCCATGCTGCAGGGGGCCAGGAAGACAGCCCCACGGCCACCCATGGCTACACCACCTCTCCACAGGGAACTCATGCCCATGGCCCAGACCGCTCCATCAGCCCTGTGGGCACCAGCACTGTGGAGCTCCTATACATCGTGGTGGGAGTCCCAGGCACCCCCCAAGTGCGCCTGCCACCCCAGAAGAGGAGGAGCCACCTGAGGAGCCAGGGCAGGTGGCAGCAGGTCCCTCTGCCCAGGGCAGGGAGTGCTTTCCCGGGGGGTCCCAGTGAACCCCAAAAAGGAGGGCCAGCAGCAGCCCCCAGGACTCTTCCCAGCCCTGCAAGAGGCCAACCCAACAACAGGACTAGGTGGGCACCCCACAGCTTGCAGCATCACATCTCAAGCGGGCTGGGAGCCACTCCATTTTCTCTCACTCTACCTCTTAGAGAAAATAAAGAAATGCTACCAAAAGAGTCTATGTATTACTGACAGTGCAGACATTGCTGCTGTCCATAGCCATGTTGATTTCTTCCTCTTCTTGTGAGAACTGTGTCCAGAGAAAGTTTTGAAGTTGGTGAAGGGACTGGAGCACAAGTTTTATGAGGTGCGTCTGAGGCTCTTGTATGGTTTGTTGGTGTCGTGGTTTAACCCAGCCGGCAGCTAAACACCACGCAGCCGTTCGCTCGCCCTCCCCCCTCCCTCTCTGGGACGGGGGAGAGAAATGGAAAGTGAAGCCCGTGAGTTGAGATAAAGACAGTTTAATAAGACAGGAAAATAATAATAACAATAATAATGATAATGATAATGATTGATAATAAATAATAATAATAATAATAATAATAATAATAATAATAATAATAATAGTACATAATAATAATAATACAATGGTGATAATAGGTAAGTAATAATAGTATGTACAAACAAGTGATGCACAATGCAATTGCTCACCACCCGCTGACCGATGCCCAGCCTAACCCCGAGCAGTCTGGCCCCCTCCCCCGGCTAGCCACCCCTATATATTGTTTAGCATGATGTCAGATGGTATGGAATACCCCTTTGGCTAGTTCGGGTCACCTGTCCTGGGTCTGTCCCCTCCCAGCTCTTACTGCACCCCCAGCCTGCCCGTTGGCAGGACAGAGCAAAAGGCTGAGATGTCCTTGGCTTGGTATAAGCACTGCTCTGCAACAATTAAAACATCGGGGTGTTATCAGCACTCTTCTCATCCTAAGCCAAAACACAGCATTCCACCAGCTACTAGGAAGAAAATTAACTCTGTCCTAACTGAAACCAAGACAGTTGGTCAGCCTCCTGATTCACCTGGGGAGCCTGCAGTGACTGAAGTTGTCGATTATCCATTCCTAGAACTATTCAAGGCCAGGTTGGAAGAGGCTTTGAGCAACCTGATGTAGTGAATGGTGTCCCTGCCCATGGCAGAGGGGTCAGAATTAGATGATCTTTAAGGATCCTTCCAATCCAGACCATTCTGGAGTATTGTGTCCAGTTATGGGCTCCCCAGTACAAGAGGGACATGGAACTACTGGAGTGAGACCAGAGGAGGGCTATGAAGATCATGAGTGGACTGGAGCACCTGTTGTATGAGGACAGGCTGAGAGAGCTGGGTCTGTTTAGCGTGGAAAAGAGAAGACTGAGGGTGGACTTCATCAATGCGTTTATACACAATGAGTTTGTATCTGAGGGGAGGGAGTCAAGAGGATGAAGCCCGTCTCTTTTCAGTTGTGCCCAGAGAGAGGCCGTGGGCACAAACTGAAGCACAGGAAGTTCCAGCTGAATATGAGGGGGCACTTTTTTACTGTGAGTACTGTGAGGGTGGCAGAGCACTGGAACAGGTTTCCCAGAGAGGTTGTGGAGTCTCCGTCTCTGGAGACTCCAGAGAAGAAATGGGTAAAATATGGGGATAGAAAAGAAGCCTTATGCATTTCTGCAGTTGAAGTATAGTTAACATGGGTAACAACCAGATTTTGTATATGGGCAGATTTTCTTTTTAATTTAGTTTATTATTATTATTATTTTATATCCCAGAGAACTTCAGGTTTTCCAGTGAGCAGTTATATTGTGTCATATAAGATCATGTATAATAAAGAGCATTTCAATAATGATTTGCTAATAATCTATTGACAAGTTTGGCTGTTACTGATAGTTAACTGGGAAAACATTTTCAAGTTTTAACCCAGAAAGAATAAGAGAATTTGGCATTGAAAGGGTGAAACTAGTTTACATAGCATGTGCACCTATCTTTGTCATTCCCTTGAAAATTCCTGGTACTTTTTGTGTGAATGTTCTTTTCAGATGCTTTGGAACAAGTTTTTCCTAAGGGTGCTGAAGGGAGCATGTGACTAAACTTTTTTCATAAGCTTTTCCATGGTTTATAACTTGGATAAAGTTTGCCTGATTGAGACCATAAGGGGTCCCCTCCAACCACAATGTCTATTATAATTCCTCTTCCCTGTGAATCCCCTTGAGATGTACTTCCAGCCAACTCCAAGCAGCTGTATTCCAGCCCAGTGGGAACATCAGTCATTAACGTTAAACTGTTCTAAGGATATGGCAATGATGTGTGGACCGTGTAAGCTGTACAGCGCTGGGACATTTAGTCAGGGGAATGTGGTGGTATATTTCATGGCAAACTGCATCTCTGCAGTCAGTGTTTGAAGAACAAGGGTGATTGTCATGATCAGTAGAGACTATGGAATAACTTCTTAAATACTCTCTTCTTTCACAGTGTGTATTTGCAAAGCTACTCTTTAAAAGCAAGGATGCCAGTGTTGTATGTCCAGGAAATTTTTTTGAAAAAAAATTTTGAATTTTTTCCAAAATTAGAAGATAATTCACTTGCCTCAGTAAGGTAATGTAGTTTCTGAATTTTCAGAACAGAAGCCAAAGCTACAGGAGTTCGTGTTCATTGTTCTGAAATAATAACAATTATTTTAATGAAATATTTTCAGATTTCTTTTTATATCCCAAGT